TTTTTTTTGAAAATTTATTTCTTATCAAAAATTGTTAACATTTGTTTAATTAAAATGTAAATTGGTATAAATGTTATTGGAAGATGTATGAGATTCAATACGCAGCGCGCGCGAATCGCGCACCTGTTATGTACTAGTCAAATCAAATATAAAATTTCTGTGATTATACAATCGTGAAAGCCATTGGATATTGAAAGCGTTCTGGAATATTCAAGATATCGATTTTGTGTATAATTTTGGGCTAATAAAGAAAAACAGTATCTTTTAGTAAAAAACGTATATTGATAATTCTTTTTTTTAAATATTTTTTTGGGGCCATCTATTTTAACAAAATATGTTGCGAACAATTCTAAATTACAATAAAATGATGAATTTCTTACTAATTAACTTATCAAAATCTTTTGTAAATGTAATAAAAATTGTTATTACTGTTAGTATTAGATTCTCATTTCTGATTACTTTTTATTCAATTAAAATTTATACAATCGAAAATAACTCGAAAATGATTATGTATTGATAATATAATTACTTATTATCTTGCATTTCTACTTACAAGATTTTAGTATTAAGACTCATATAAAAAGATTCGAATTGTGTAATCGAATTATTCGAACAGCTCAAACGAAACTCCATTTGTTTGTTTTAATCAAATAGTTTTGACATTAGAAAAAAATTAAGTGAAAATATTTATTGCAAACAGAAAATAAATTTTTTTTCCTTGAAATAACAAATCTAACAGATTAAACAATTGAAATCATTCAAATATCTTAAAGCTAGAACGAGCCGAACAATTTAAAGTTTGATTTGGAAATTCGAGCTGTTGTTCAAGCACATGAAAATTTCACACATCATGAAATTAATTGTATAATTACAGTTGTACCCATTTTTTAAATCCCCTTTATGACATATATATATACATCGGATAATCCATGCTGCATAATTATTTTTTTATATGCTGATTTAGCCTTGGTAGTCAAAATAATCGATTTCTTTGTCAGCAATTTTAGTAGCTGACGATGATGGCAGCAATTGCTGATTCTGCTTTACAGGTAACGAAAGAACAGTCCTGCAATATATAATTAATTACATATTTTAGTACATATATATTCATTTATTAATTCGTTGAATCTTTTATTAATCCGACAGTTACAAATAAATATCTTACTTTGTAGAGTTATTTCCCTTCGAAGTATTGAGTACCGGACCTGGAACCTTTCTCTGTCCCTTCTCTCTCTGTATCATTTCTAATAAACTGTAACTTGGTAGCCAACACTGCAATGAGATTTGTTACTGAATATTTGTTACTGAAATGATACACGTTTCAATTGAGCGAGCTTTTACCTTATCTTTCACGGCAGTGGCAACGACGTTTCTCTTTGGCTCTTCATCGTATGCTTGACTCTCGCAGCCAAAGTGCTGGCACGACTCGTGCACGAAATGACGCTTTTCCCTGTTCATAACATCGAACGAATAACTCCGGGATTTCTGTTTGGACGTTTTCGCTAGCTGCACCAATTCCGTCAACTTGTCGTGGACTATTTGACAGAAGTGCGGATCTTTCTTGGCCCACTGTTTCATGTAATCGCTATATCTGGGCATCAATTTGCCGCTTAAGTCCGGATTAACGATCTGCAGTCCCAATGCAAGCCTCCTGTTTCTTTCTATAATCTTGCACTCGTCGTTGCACTCCAAAGTCTTCAGTTGATTTTGTTTCTTCGCACCTTGCCCGAACACTTCGTCTAAATCGACGGAGTGACCGAGTTGCATATCGGCCATCTTACTAGCCAATATATTGCTTGCTATCCGCTGATATTCCCGCGCATTATCTGCACAGACACGACTCATAGTCCTGTGTCCGCACTGGCAGGTAACCTGTAAAGTAAATACAATTTATGGTTAAATAATAATCCCATGGTACAAAACTTGTTGAAATTTTATCACGATGCGATCGCTTTCAAGTGGATCGCCTAAGATATGCAAAAACAGGAATTGTTCCTTACCTTAACCATCTCTTTGCAAGGCGTATCTGGACATTTGCCTTCGTGGCATGGAGTGGCGCAGATATGCCCGCACAGTTCTCTTAATGCGGCACAAGGCTGTGTGCACTGCTGGCCGGGTTTTTCGCAGGGTCCAGCGTGACACATTGTGATACATCTATGCCGTCCACACGTCAACGGCTTGCTGCACGGAAGACCGCACGATATCTCTTTCACGTGGCACGGCACCGCCTTCCTGAGCTCGTGTCTGCCGTGGCACCATCTCTGGGTCAGGACGCTACAAGGTGGACACGTGGGCTCGCTGTGACAGTTGTGCAGTACCTCGTGGTCGCAGGCATGCTCGCGCGAACACGGCCGGTTGCAGGTGGGTCTCCTCGTGCCGCACGGGACTGGCGGATAAATCACTTCTGCGCCACACTCGCAATACAGTTCGTCGAAGCTGCTCTCCCAGCAAGGCGAACATCTTCCTGTCGGAGAGAAAAAAAAAAATTTCATTTTATACTGTCCGATTTCGATGATAGATACAATTACATAGATACAAGCGCGTGCGCTTACCTATATGACATCTCTCCTGGCACTTGTGCCGACCGCAACTCAAGTTTTTTGAACACGGCAACGGACAGATGTGCTCGATGTCGATGCAGCACAGCTGATTGCAGTTGTGTTTACCGCAGGATCTCTTCTTCTTGCAGCGTTTCTCGCAGCGCGCGTCGTCGGCCTTGCTCGTCAAGTCCCTGCAAGCGATCTCGCGGTCCATGTTACCACATCGGCACTTGACGTCGGTGTTCAAATCGCATTCCGGACATTCCCCCGTGTGACACGGTGCCTTGCAGATGTGCGGATTACCTGCGTGAGCGAACGGAAAATTCGATTTAGCGCGTCTGCACGGTGACGAGACGCAAAGCGTCGATATCTCGGAGACGCTTACTAGGCTGGCCGCATTTCAAGCGCTTCGAGCAGATTTTATCGCAGGTCGGCACAGGATCCATACAACTCTCTCTTTTCTCCGTTAACGGCGTCTGACCGCAGCAACACATTGTAACTTTTTCGGGCATCAAGGAACAGAACTCGCAAGACTCTGGATGACAAATCTTCTGGCAATAATGTTTCTCGCAGTCTAACGGTTTGTTACAAATATTATCACAGCAATACGTATCTGCAACGTTGGCTCGGCAGGGTACCTCTTGAGTTTTCTTACTACAGAAACATGCTAAACAAAATAAAACAAAACATTACAATTGTACATTGCTATCTAAGATAATTATTGCAAACTTAACGTATTTATCTTAATTTAAAAAAAATTAAATGTACGTTAAATGAAGAAATTGAAATATTACTTTGTTGCACGACTTTGTCGCAAGGCCCGCACTCCCCCTGATGGCACTTCCTCTGGCAGGTGTGCTTGCCGCACGACAGATTCTTCTCGCATATCGAATCGCACATCAACAACTGCTGAGCGCTACACAGTAGCATCTTCGACGTTCGTCCGCAACCGCAATACTTGGTTACCATCGCCACGCACTGCGGGCAAGAGCCGGGATGGCAGAGCAAGGTGCACTTGTGCGTGCAATTTTTCTTGGACAGATGCCGACCGCAGATCTCGCCGCACGAATGTGCCACGTCCCTGCGATTCCACTCGGGCATCTTCATCTTGCCGCAGAAGCAGAAGTAATCCTCGGGCACGAGGAAACTAACGTCCCGACAAGCCGGGCACTTCCAACTGTTGTTCTCTAAAAGAAAAATAGACGAATGAGATTCGACAATTCGACGATTCGGCACAACCGAATGACCAAAAATTCCGACGAGTTTTTACTCACCGCCCTGAGACGACTTCGCCCATTTTTTTATGCACCTCAGATGCAACACGTGATAACAATTGCTGCAGGACCAAACGTAATCGCTCTGCTTGATATGCTCGTAACAGACCAGGCACTCCAACCCTCCCTTGTTCAATTGCTCGGTTAATCGTTCCCTCTGACTCGCGTCGTCATCTGGATAAGAATATACAAAGTTGACAATTATTTCATTATTTTATACGATAACAAAATGCCATCTCTTTGAGGATAGACCGTAGAAATATGCATACCAATTTCATATTTTTTCCTCGGATTTTTCCCCGGCAGTGCGGGTGTCGACTCATTACTTTCCGTCCTATCTCTCCAATTTTCCACTTTCTTCTCCTTATAACTTGTTTCGTTGTTCTTTCTTTGCGTATACTTCGCCGCTGCCGCTGTTGTTTTACGCCTGGTACCGGGTTCAGACTGCATCTCGTCCGAATTGTATCTGTGATAATTGGACGCGTTAGCGAATCGCTTAACTCTATCGTTTCGTTTTGCTTCAAGGATCTTTGAAGACATATTTTCCGAATCGTTATCCTCGCGTGCCAATGTTCTTTCTCTGCTGATTTTTGCAGACGAGTCGTCCTCTTGAATCTCTTCAACAATACCCCTATTTTCCTGATTACTAAACGTAGCGACTGAATTAGCGGCAGATGCGTGGGCTTCTTCAGCGGCATTCTGTTCTGCGAAAGACACGTCCGACTGATACTTCCTATTGTAATATCTGCCGTTCTGAAATTTATTGTAATTCCTCGCGTTGTACGTCCTGTGAGCATCCCTGTAGCCGGATCTCGGCGGAGCCTGCGTGTCCTGCGGCCTCTTCTGTCTGTAATTCGCGTCCCTTCTGTTGTCGTAACGTCTCTCGCCCTTGTACACGTGATCCGCGGACGACACGGCTGACTTTGGCTTGAATTCCTGAGCGCAAGCGTTGAACCCACTCCCCGTCGCGTTGCCGTTATCGTATCTCCTGAATCTGGCGTCCCTTCTGAACTTGGCCTGGCTGTTGGGCACAAATTCGTTGGCCATGGGATGCAGATTGGAGTTCTCCACGACAGTGGACTGGATGATGTCGTCTGCCGACGACGACGACGGCGGCGGCGGCGGCGGCGCCGACGCGTGCTTGCCGGCCGTCCGGTTACCCCTGGTGGATCTCGGCCTATAGCCGCCGCGGGAGAAGGGCAGCGCGTGGTGCGACGCCGTCGAGGCGACGCCGTTCGACGCCCGGGCGTTATCCGCGGACGAGGCGTCTGGCAGTGCACGTTCCTGATAGGCGTTGTTCTCCAAAGGCACCTGCATGTTCGACGGGTGCTGGGCGCCTGGGACCTGGTAGAAGGCCGCCGTCGGTCTTCTGCTCCGCTCGTAGACGTGTCCCCGACTCCCGTTCTCGGCCCCCGGAGGATAGTAGCCCGCCGCCGCCCCCGCGGATATGTCGTGCAGATACGCGGAGTTCCCGGCGAAGTACGTCGTCGGCCAGTTCCCCGGGGCAGCGTCCGCCGCGTTCCGGTCGGTGTTGTACATCAGGTAACTCAGGTCCTCCGGATACGAGCCGTCCCAGGTGGCCATCTCGTCGTCGCGATTGCACAGTAATTGCACAGTAACGCGAAACCGCACACGTAACGCGGAGGGGGGGAGGGAGAGGAGGAGGGGGAAGTGGGGAACCAGGAGTGCTCCCGATAAGGAGCACGCGAATCTCTTATCTGCCGAGATCGAATCCCCTTGCGGGAGAAAGAGAGAAAAGAGATCGGAAAAAATCACTGTTTCGATGAATTGCAATATGTTGTATGCTAGACCGCGCGCGTGCGATGCGTTCCGGAACGACCTTGTCCTAACCTAAAAAGAAATTCGAAAGGGTGCGCTTAAGCCACGTGTCTTATTGCTTCTCCTGGCTTCTCCGGCCGTTTGAAACTTTTAAAATCGATCAAAACGAGAATTCGAAAACTGTGGAGCACGTATGAGCAAAATTCTCGCAAACCTTTCTCCTTCCAGCGGCGATTGCAGTACCCTCTGATGGAAGCCTCCAATTAGCGGAACTACGTATCCAGATGTGAACACATCGGTATCATCGTAATCCGATCAATAAAATTTGAAAAAACTGCAGTATTGGGCAATACGTATATGATAGAAATTATGAGAAAAAAGAGATTTCAAAATAGAACTTTTATAGAGAGATTTGCGAAAGAAACGAAGTACAAAAAATATTTTGTTTGCAAAAATTTAATTTTGAGCGTCCGAAGTTAAAAACTGAATTTCGCACAATTTGAAATTCATAAAAAATCACGATAGTTTATTGTGAAAGAGAACTGCAGAGTAAGAACAATAAAATAAATACCATGAGAATGAATTAATAAATTCTAAAAACTTACTGTTATTAACAGCCATTATTTTCGCCCTTTTATTATATATGTATTTTTATCTTTTGAAATTATATAGATAAAAGAACGATTATTATAAATAATAATGCCATTAGAGGCCGAAGTAGCAAACGCAAATATGTACGTAATATAAAATTGTATTTGTATATAAAATTATAACCGTGTACAATTTTTTTTTTAACGTGTTTTACATTTTCGGCATTCGATTGGTGTCGGATATGCGGGTCTACACTGCGATCAAACTTTTCGTATCAAAATTTGTTAAAAAACATTTTATATATTACTCAACTAAGTAACCCGTTAAAATGTAGCCGCCGGTATCGTTCGTCAGGATATCGGGATGCGTCCTGTCGGGCAACACCTGATACGAACGTAAAAAATTCGTAAACAATCTCACATTTATTACATTGCGTTTCTGTTTGAGTTCAAAGTAAGTCTCCTGTAGAGGCTCGCGAAACGCGTGGAAGATGACAAACGGCCGCGAAATTCCCAAGAAGGGCAGCAGCGCGTTCGCGATTTGCAAGGGATGCTCTCTCGCGAAGATAGTCAAGCCACGAGCCTTCGAGTTACTCAATAAATCCACAGCGTGTTTTGTCTCCAGCAACCATTTCGGTTTTTTCGGTTTCTTCGCTTCTTTCTCGGGCTCCTCAGACTCGAGTTTTCGTTTCACGGCGTTGCTATTTTCCCCGGTATCGTTTGTGAGAAGCGTACCATTTTCTTCCGCCCCAGTTTCCACTTCCGAAACTTCCATATCTGTTTCGCATACTTGGTCGTTCTTAGTTTCCTCCTCGGATTCTTCCGTTGGTTTTTCACCTTCGCACAATTCTTCAATGTTACTATCGACAGTCTTTTCAGAAATATTGTCTACTACGTTTGATTCGCCCTGGTGGTACAATCTCAAGAGACTGTAGATGTTTACCATGGTGTGCCTGTCTTTCAGTTCCTGTGGAAAATTCATGGCTTCGACGAGTGTGGTTTGAGGCACGTTACCGGGATGCAGGTTGATGAGACGGCCGCTCGTGTTCGCGCCTATTCTGTCGAGCATAGCCGCCGCGGGCAGTCCCTGGAATCCGCTGCTGTACAGCAGGTGCAAGCCGTCGGCCTGCACGTCACTGTAGGACAGTATCTGCGCCAGAGCGTCCATCCTCAATCCCCCGATCTTCTCGTGCTTCGTCGCGAAGTACACCTCGTGCAGCGACAATATCGACGTCCTGTGTATCGTCAGGAATCTGAAATACTTGCGCTTCTTCTTCCTGATGTACTTCTCCTGCGAGTACTCCGTTTTGGCGGCGAAAGACGTGCTGTTCTCGATGAGGCTGCCGATTATCTCCCTGCCGGTCTTGCCGGCCTCCTGCAGCCGCAGAATCTCCTCCTTCGACAGCCGCTGCGACGTGCCGTCGTCCACGATGGAACGATTGTCGCAGCCGCTCAGCTCGCCCTTCAGATCGTTCCACGACTCCACCCCATCCGTCAGCTTCAGGGTGAAGGTGTTCCTGCTGTCTGGCAACGGCACCATCTCGAAGGTGCTCCAAAACGGCCTGCCGATGATCTCGCGCATCTCCACCCTCTGATCCTTCCCCAGCATCAGAATACCGTTCTCCGACACTTTGTATATCTTGCTGAAGCCCTGCTTCTTGACTATCACGTGGGTGCCCACCGCGATCACATCCTCCGCCGACTCGCACGTATCCTCCGCGGTTGCGCTCATCGTATCCCCGAATTGTTTTACAGGTTAAAGCGCTCGCTCGAATTTTTTACATGTCGGGTCCTGTAACATTATCACATGTTTACTCCATATATCTCTATTATTCTTCCTAGCTTTTCTACAGCAGCAATATATCACCTTTAATGTTTCTTTCCCCTTTCTCCTCAACCATGCCGTGCCATGCCACATGCATGCGATTATCTGCCAAGTGCCATTTTCGCTCTTTTCAGGTTAGGCCAGTGCATAGGAAAACGATATGACTTAGGTAGTAGCAAACTGCAGTTGTGGCCGAGAATTTTAAAATGGTAGTATGTTTTCGATTGTGATTTAGCTAATTCGCTTACTTGCCATTTGCTGGTAAGGTAATTTTTTAGGTTGGGTAAGCACTGGTAAGCACATGGGTGGATCGATGGGCCTTGCATCAGTTTGCATTCCTCCAGGAATTGCGTGTACGCATTTGTATACGATACTCGCATGTCGGGTGTAATTTCGTGTTTTTCTACACAATAATGCGTCTAAAGTAACTTGAAGTAACTTGGATGTAATCTTAATCATAGTTATCGTTCATATTGATGTACAAGACGTTTTGAGTGACACGCACGCTTGATGTAGGTGTATTAAGTATCATTAACATTTAACAAAGTCTTTAAAGTTCTTCTAACAATATGTCTCACGTTTTAATGATTGTAGAGAATAATAAAAATGGATCGCTACAATGAATTCCAAGCCATTGTGCTCGCCGGAGGAAAAGGCTCCCGCATGACAGAGCTGACAGCAAGCCAGCCGAAATGCCTGCTACCGATCGCCAACGCTCCCATGATCTGGTTTCCCCTGCAACTCCTCGAGCGTTCGGGCTTCAAGGAGGCGATCGTCATTATCGCCGAGGAAAACAAGTCCGACGTGTCGGTGGCCTTGGATAAATTGGGTCTGAAAATCAAGCTGGAATTCGTGGGAATTCCAGGGACCGAGGACCTTGGCACAGCTGATTCCATCAGGCTCATTCACGAAAAAATTTATACCGATATCTTGGTGATATCCTGCGACCTGATCACGAATGTGGATGTATTGGACATCCTGAACTTGTACAGAAAGCACAATGCGAGTCTGACCGCTCTGATGTTACCTATGCCGAGAATCCCGGACGACTTTGTAACGCCAGGTCTGAAGAACAAGCAGAAGCCGGAGACAGATTTGATCGGCATCGACAATAACACAGGGCGATTGGTATTCTTGGCTTCCGCGTCTGACTTCGAGGAAACAATTAACATCTCGAAGAGGCTTCTCACGAAGCATGCCAGCTTCACCATTAACTCCAAACTGATGGATGCGCATTTGTACATTATTAAGAAATGGGTGCTAGATTTTTTAATATTTGACAAGTGAGTGATTTTATTAGAGAGATACATTGAGAGAAGAGATTAAATGTAAATCTAATTAAATGTAAAATTTTTTTTTTTCAGAAACTTTACGACTCTGAAGGGTGAACTTGTGCCATATATAGTCAGTAAACAGTTACTTAAACCTAAACAGTCTATGGATGACAAGACTTCCATAGTGCAAATGGATTTGAAAGAGGATATCTCCCACTTTGCAATGGAGAACCCGTTAGATGAGCTGATAACAAAGATGTCAGCCTTCAATGATCACAGAACTGATCTGGAGGACCCATATAATGGGGATGTAATACGATGTTACGCTCATGTACCGACTGAAAATTTTGGTCTTAGAGCGAATACCATACAAATGTATCATCTTGCTAATGCTAAGGTAATTCAGTTTGCACAAATCTCTATGTAATTCAGTAATGATATATATTATTTTAACGTATGAAATAAGTCGGGATCTCGAAGTGAAACTTGACCGACTAAAAGTCGATCGCTCTCGTACGGAGCTACGAATAATATATATATTATATTTACACTTTAATTCTAAATTGAGGAATCTGTATCAACTGATTTGAAAAATATCTCGTACAGATATCAGAATGGTGGACCTCTGCCAGCCAGTTGCCGCTTTTGCCGGCATTGTCGAAGTCGGCGGTTGTAAACACAACACAGCTGCAAGAATGTCGCGTAAGTGATAATTCGGTTATTGATAGCAAAACGTCGTTGAGACACAGTCATATCGGGCCTTGCACCACCGTGGAAACGAAGACAAGGATATCTCAGAGTGTGCTAATGGGATGTGTAACTATTAAGCCAAGGTGAGTTTGATGTGTTTATTGAGTGAAAATATTCGTCTAAAATTTACGATTTGTTTTTTTTTTTATGCAGATGTGTCATTCACAATTGCATACTATGCAATGGTTGCATCATCGAGGAAGGCACCGAATTGAAGAGTTGCATCGTTGGAGCAGATTACGTTGTGAAATCTGACAGCCAACACTCTCACGAAGTACTCACTGATGCAGATAGGCTTATAGAAATTTAACTACCCACATTTTGTACTGTTTACAAATTATAAATATATTGTAGATATTATTTATAAAAAATGTTTAATAGAAAAACAAGAAAACTACCTTTTGTAATTGATTTTTTTTTGTTTTAGTTGGTAGAGAAGTATATTGATGTATCTAAATGCAGCAATTTTATGTTCAGATTGATAAAAGTTAGGGCATAATTTAGATTAATATTTCTTTATTAGACCGTTTTTTATTTAAAAAAATTAAAATTTGTATAATGCTTATGTATATATGTATATTATAATTTTTAATTTTTGGCTTTGTGATGGTAAATGGTGTAAATTGAAATTTACCTTCCGAGTAAGAATTTCGCGATTTAGTTTCAATCGGCGTCTACAGAGATCGTTCGAAAACGTCTCGTTCTCCGGCTGAATTTATAACCTCTTTCGACTGGACGTCGGACGAAGGAACGTTCGGATTCGGAACGGAATAAATCGTCTTTTCTCTGGAGTGGTCTTTCATCTAAAATGGTGAGCGTGAATTTATGTTATTCAAATCGATTTATTTTACAGCGATCCTAACAGCCGGCTGATTTATCGGCGCGGAAAAGATGTCCTGAATTTTCGTAGAACCGACATAATTAAATAATATCGAGCGAAAAAAGATCCGCATGACATGGACATTACTGCCATGTACTGGTTTATAGGTTATGATAATGTTTATCTGATAACACGTTAAGAGTCACTCATTTTTCCCGAAGGATATTTATTTTTTTCTTATTCTTCCATAGAGATGATCTAAAAATTACCCTTCTTTATCGTCGTTCGATCTTCATATCGTTGAATCTTATTTTTTTCTCTAATTTGTGGACATGGAGTCGGATGTTGCAGTTTAAGTTCAGTATGCTTTTTCTTGATGTTCACAGACGAAGGGTACGTCCAGCTTTGGTAAGCGTCGTAACAAGACGCACACGTTGTGCAGGCGATGTGGACGTAGCTCTTACCACATCCAGAAGTCGCAATGCGCGCAGTGTGGCTACCCGGCTAAGAAGATGCGTTCGTGTAAGTCGCTGTCTTGCAACGCGACACGTTTGCCCGTAGACGAGTGTCACGTTACGTTTATGAGATATCGAATATTTATTGTTAATTTAAAGATATTAATTAGATGTATGTTTCGCAACATCACAGATAACTGGTCGATCAAGGCGAAAAGGAGGAAGACCACCGGCACTGGCCGCATGCGTTATCTTAAGATCGTGCGCCGTAAATTCAAGTAAGCGTTAGAAATATGAAAATAACTAATAGCGTTTTCGGACAAATTATAAAAAAAAAATTAGGGAATGTTATATGCATCTTTTATTATGATAAAAAATGATATAAAACTGTTTTTAAAAAACTGTAAAAATCTGTGGGTCAATTGTTTTAACGTTAATTATAATATTTTCAGACGAAGCGGATTTGTTCGCTCCGAGAGCGATTAATAACGTCGCATGCTCTCCTCGCCCAATGAGAAATCTAAAATAGAGCACGTGATGTTATTAATTGCTCTCTGAGCGATCAAATCCGCTTCGTTCAAAAACGCTATAATTAACGTTAAATCAATTAACCTATAGATTTTTAACAACTTTTTCTTATAGTTTTATATCATTTTTTGTTACAATAAGAAATGTATATAACATTATCTAATTTTTTCGTAATTTGCCATATATACAGCACCTATAAATGGTTATTTTATATATTTATAGGAATGGATTCAGGGAAGGCTTGCCAAAACCTAAAGCTGTTGCAGCTAAGTAATAGCATCAATACCCTGTCTCATTGTCTAATTAAGTTGTACAATTTTGACTATCAATAAAAAATCGAAAACATCTGATCACAATATTTAGCATTTCAATGAGAATTTCTTTTATTAAATTCTAATGGAATGATAATCACATTTATTGGATTGTTTACTTCTCTTAAATATTTGCAGCTATATAAGCCTTTAAGTTTCATACGCTTTTACACCATCTAAAGACTTTCGGTTTCTCTCTGTATAATTCCATTCTTGTAAATGATAATACACTTAAGTAAGATAGCTTAAAATTAAGTATATTATCTCGACTCCCCTCCCGTTTCTTTTTCTATTGATACATTGAGTAGCATTTGCAAACACGTGAGATGAACTTCTGATAAACCTGTATACGTATTCTCACGTATTATATCATATCTGACAAGAAAATTTTGAAGAAATACACGATCGGAAAGATAAGAGGCGCGTTGTCTACGTATCGTTTGCGCAACCTTCGCGGAATTTTTAATTGCCGCGACGTCCCATATATTTAGCGAGCTTCCGACCTCGCCGAACAGTACGTTCAATGCATGATGACAACTCGGATGGTCGCTGCAGCTCCATTGTGCATCTAGGCGTCCGCCGATACCGCACCCGAAGATCGTTGATCTTCAGCCCGTCAATTCGAGAGTTATGCCACGCAACAATACTCAGCGAATGTTTCGTCTCCACAAGCACCGAAGAATCAAGAAGATTTGCTCGATTAAATAATAGTAAATTTAAAGAGAGGGAAAACGCGCACTTAGAAACAAATTCAAATAGGTGACTGAAAGGAAATAATTTGGTCAAGAAGACATATGAATTAACGTTTCTACTACACGCAGATAATTCTCGAAGGGTATTTACAATTACTGAAAAATTTTGCTCTTTGAAAAATCTGTTCCATAATACGGAACAAAAACGAATTTATTACAAAACTTGTATATAATTCTGTATAAATGGGCGTTCTGCGTCAACTACTGTTTGGTAAGTGCATGTTTTTTTTGTTTTTTTTAATAATCGCTTTATTGTCTGAAATTTATATTTTTGGCTGTGCAGGTAAATATCTGTTAGTTACCAACACTGTGAGCTGTGGCCTGATGATGGCAGCGGGAGATGTGATCCAACAGCGCAGCGAGTATTGGAAGAAGCATTGTCACAAATATTTTCCAGGCAGCGTCATGGCAGCGTCACCGGAAGATGAAAAGGTGACGGCGATTTCCAGCAGTCCATCTGTATACGGACACGACTACATGCGGACCAGGAACATGACGGTCGTGGGACTGCTTCAAGGTCCGTTTCATCATTGGTTCTACACAATCCTAGAAAAGGTTTTTCCAGGCAGAAACGCAAAGTCTGTTCTAAAAAAGACATTTCTCGACCAATCGATCGCGAGTCCCACGTGCCTGACGATATTTTTCGTCGGTCTCGGAATCCTGGAGAGTCGTAAAGTCGAGGAGATCAGCAAGGAACTAAAGCTGAAGTTCTGCGAAACGTGGAAAGTACGTACGGAACTATATTCGTTAATCGGTATTTCAATAATCGTAAAGAGCGAATTTGTACAACAATTAAAATTCAGAAACTGCTATCGAAAGCTTTAATTCTTTTTAAAATATACGTAATAATCTATTAAAATATTGCCAGGTCGACTGTTGTTTTTGGCCTCCTATGCAATGCATTAATTTCCTCTTTGTGCCCCTGCATTATCGGGTACTCTATACGAATGCTCTGACGATGGTCTATGACATTTTTCTATCATATATAAAATATGTAAGTTTTACCTTCGTATGTACAGACGGGGATGCAAATGCCTTTATACGTTTATAACTTGTTTTTAATTGCTTTATCAAGTTACAATTAAAAAAAAAACGAATATATATTACATTGCGATCGAGCAATAAAATAATTATAACTTACTTCATTCGCAGGACGCTCACTTCGAGTGATAGAAATCTCATGGCTAGTCCGAACAAAAGATATGACTGTACGAGTATAATTAATTGTTAAGCAAGCATTGTATATATATGTTTATTATTAATTAATATACGCAACAATGTGCAATAAAATGCTATCGAAAACAATTTCCAAGTAAGATTATCGTATCTTCCCGAACTGATGTCTTATCGCGATTCAATCTATTTGTTCATTTCTACAATTTTTACCAGATGACAAATAATTGCGAGTAATCACTTGCCGCAGTTCCTGGTGCGAGAAACTATCGATATAATTAAAACTCGAATAATGCTAGAATATCTCGAGAGGTGCTGCTAATAATTGCAACACTGCGGTGATTTCCTTTGAAGAAATGATATAAGCTTAGCGTTTTTGTTATTAATTACAATTTCTACGTGGCTAATCTCAAATCGTAATTACTTCAAGATTAAAGAAATTTAAACATCACACACTCGGATGTGCTAGATTCGTGTTTATCTTTCTGCGAGAATAAGAATTCTTTACGGACATCTCCTATCTCGTAACTTTTGTTAGTTCGCATACGAAGAAATCCAGAAAAATTCGGCGGAGAATTCGGAAGTTTATTGATGTCGTTCAAGCATGAATCGTAAATAATTGTTGTGGAAGAATGCCTGTGATTGCGAAATAATGGCAGAACGCGATCGAATATATTGGTCTGCGGACACGCGACACGTGTCCGCAACGGAAAGGCGGATTGCGTCTTATCGCGCGCAATAATCTCTCATTGAGTTTATTTATTTGCTCGACAGCTTTTGTTTGGCATTTGGCGACGGTGGGATTACACGGTCTTCTAACCAGTCAGACGTCGTCACAAGCAAACATGATTAACGGACATAAACACAAACAATAAATTCAACCGTCGTGCGACACAAATAATTGACGGAAATAATTTTTGCACGTGAAATGCAAGATTTTTATAAATATGCCTCATCGTCACTCGCCTGTCGTGTTTTTCTGTTTTGCCTATAATGAGCATTGCGCCCTGGAATTATATATACGTATGATTTTTATAACATTTTTACGTTTCTGTATAAAACGAGAATGTATGCAATATAATGTATATATAGCGAGCAATCATGATACAAGATCTCTACGTAATTAAATTCTTCTTTCCTAAGTTTGTTTACGCCGTATTATTTTATCTCGAACAAAGAAAATCATACTTGTCCTATATTACTCTCTCATACCTTTGCTTATCTCGTTCTGTTTTCTACAATGGTACATAAATTGTAGTTTCCAACTTTGATAGATTATTTGCGATATCGTCAATGCAATCGGAAATTTTTCGCTGCGATAACAAATATCGATCCTTCATACGTCAATATACAAATCTTCATTGTTTTCTCTGCGTTAACCTGCGACCGCAAAATTTTAAAATTAATTTACGTTTAATATATTTTTTTTGTCAGGCATTCTTATAATTAATTTTTACGATATTTTTTTAATTATTATTAATTATTATTAATTAACAAACTAATCAACCTATCTAGCTATATTTGTCAAAAGGCGAACTTGAACTAAACTCCGATTAATCAGCGATTATAATTCAAATGATATAATAAAATAATCGCTTACAGCAAGATTTCTACATAATTCATATATCGTTTTTTAAATAATCTATTTTTTTTGCAAAAAAAATTAAATAATAGAAAATTAATTAAATTGAAAAAATTAAATGATAAAAAATTAATGAGGCTGTTTTTGCTAATAAAAGTATCACTTGAGTCTTGACACGTTATTTACGACAATTAAACTTACAAATCAATGATTTAGTTTTATTGGCAAAATCGCTTAAAGGCAAAATGTCAAATCTCAGGTAATAATAATTTGTTGTTTTTCATCTAATCTATTTTTACAATTTTTTGTTCGACAAAAAATTAAAAATTCTATTTTTATTAATAAAATAATACCACTATTATTGTGATTTGATCAAATTGTCAACCGAGTTAATCGGAATTTGGTCAAAGTGTCTCCCTTGCAGATATAAATAGCGAACTATCATATGAGCGAGCGAGCGAGCGAGAGCGTGTGAGGCCGGAAGGAAGGGAGAAGAGAAGTGGTGGGGGAACTCGGAACAGCCGATGATTATTAGCCTGACTCCAGTATGCTCCACTTGAAATTTTGGTTATAACGGATAGTGATTAATTTTTTTCCCTCGAATACAGATGTACACGAGGCATCGTTTGCAGCGTTTCCGCGGCGGCAAATGAGACACGTTCGACGTAGCATGCATCTCAACTCTCGACAAGCCACCTGAAGGCTCTCTTCGTTTAATTGGCCTACATAACCGCTCCGACAATTATGAATTTGCAAACGCTTTTTCAGGATTTTAATCCAAGGTAATTTAATTCCGTGTCACAATACAGCAATCGTGACTCATTACGAATACCTACGCAATGACATTATTACTCACGCAAGTACGAATTTTCCAGTAAATTTCTGGTACACACATGTCTGATGATATTCACGGCTCTGTTCGCTCTTCGACTGGACGGTTTCATCGAATGGAGCTATTGGTCTATATTCAGTCCGATATGGTTTTGGAAAGGCATGGTGATCCTGGGAGCGATAGTCGGTAGTTACGTCTGGTGGAGGCATCCCCATGCGAGATTAGAAGGGGACGCCTATGTACAATATAAAGCGATGGTGATCACTCTGTCGTTGCATCTGGTTCTGTTGATGTTTGAATTGTTGGTCTGTGACAAACTAGAATCCGAGAGACACTTGTGGATACTGGTATTCATACCCTTGATTTTTATCTCGATAGTATCAATTATAGTAAGTATAATTATTCTTCAAATCGCTACTGACAATGAAGACGATTGTATTGATGAGCACTTTCATTTTTCTGATCCCTCTCTGACTTAGGTTTGTATCTGGGCGGTAAAAAATGATCGATCGTTCGAACTGGAACTGTTTTGTGCGGTGAATGTGTTGCAGTTTATCTTTCTGGCTTTGAGACTGGACGGCTTTATAACGTGGAGCTGGGAGGTTGTGTTCGTGCCGTTGTGGGCACTTCTTTGCTTATCCTTGGTAGCTGTTTTATATGCGATAGTATTCGCCGCTGTTTTACTGAGAACGCCACAGATCAATGCCCGCCAGAGGCGGACCTCCCTGCACTCCGCGGTAGCGTATACATTTCTCGTTGTTCCCATTTTAGTGTTCCAGGTAATTAGTACATCTTTTTATGCGTGTCTCGTTAAGTAAACTATGATCAACGTAATTTTCTTTTAATAGCATTATTTGATATGAACTACATTCTGTTTTAGGTACTGCTAGCGAATAAATTAGATGGAGATATTTCAATAAATTATATAACAGTGGCAATGCCACTCCTCCTGTCGCACATGACTCTTATTTTTATGTCCTTTGGTGCAAAAGGCGGAAATAGATGTAAGAAATAATTTTGTAGACTATTATTCAGTATCATTCTAGAATCATTTATCATTATTTTTTTCCTCTTGATGAAACACATGTGTAAGATCGTTTCGTTATTAATTTTATTAGCATGTAAGAACGATGGAATTTTTGTCTAGGGTGGTTTGGTATCAGAAAAGACTTTTGTCACTTCCTGCTAGGTTTATGTCCATTACTTCAAGAATACGGTAATATTTCGTATCAACCAAGAGACGAGCGAGATCAACCACCATCTGAGCCAATGATTCCGGAAAAGAGCGAGAAGCTCATTAAGAAAATCGACCTAATGAAACCTGTTGTGCCTATAATCTCTATAGACATGCCTGACTGATTGGCTCAAAACAGGTATTCGCTCGTAAGGATATATTTGAAGAATGTATCATATGCAGCATGCACACAATGCAAATTGACAATATCTAAAGTTTCTCATTCTGTTATCTTTTAGGGTTAGCTCGGATATTTTTAAATCGTTATTTTTAATGCAACTGACTTATACAGAGGCCAAATATCTACTATAAAATAGTCAGGTATACTTTTAAATAATAAATACTAAATATGTATAATTAAAATTATAAAATTATAACGGACTCGAAATTAAAATAATAAGAGTTAATAATAGGGCAATGAGAGTACGGCGTGGTATTTGTGATTTGCAAATGATTCTATAATCTTCAAACGTTTTGGAAATGTTTGAAGATTATAGAAGAATCATTTGCAAATCACAAATATATTACTTCATTTAATCATTTCTTGTTAATTTTTATAACATGCCTATTAAGTATCGTGTCGTATTCTCATTGCCCTATTATTAATTCTTATTTTTTATGTATAATTGAATATAGCTATATTTGTTTATGTATTAATTACTTTCCTTCACTTCATATTAAGGCCTTATTAAACAGAGATTGAATTACACGGATATATATATGCCGGCTGGGATACAAGACTGAACACCTCGCATCTCTAGAATAGCATTGTCAGGAAACGTGAAAAAGAAAACGAAAAGAGCGTCTGGACAAATTAGAAAAAGTGATGTTGCTGTTAATGTTGCTGGACATCGTAATGTTAAATGCCCAATCATTTATTATATTAAAATGTAGAAATAATGTATATACAGACTGTTATATATCATAATAATATTACATATAATGAATATTAAATATTATATGAGTCTACCATCCGCAACGATGATAGACAAGTGCTAGTAACGTTACATTATTTTATATATATATTACATCTAAAAAAAATATTATCTAATAAAGTTTCTATTTTTTGGTATCAACAGCGACGATCAATTAATTTCTGCGATACTGCTAATTTAATATATGGAACGATATTGCATGTGGAATATATCGAAACTATTTCAGATTTTTAGTAATACTGTCCAACTTTACTGCAAATATTATAAGCATTATAAACATAAAAGTGAATACGTTGAATTTTCTGTTCGACATTGCAAAAAATCTTTGTAAGTTATCATGTAATTCTGTGAAAAAAAAATAGAAAAGTTCGTCGTAAATATTTTATTTCGTCATGTATCCTGTTACGGCTATAAATTTCGTTGAAACCTCTTTTTCACTTCTCAGGAGATTACCACAGTGGTACGTACTCCGGTACCCACGTACGATCAAGGAGCGAAGATAAGTTCATCGATACTTTAGTGATATCGAAGTCCGCATCTTCTATCAGCGACGTTTCCGAAATGTACAGCACCTGCAGACGATGTGCGCATAATGCAACAAATTTCGCTAATCCGGAACAGCTATAAGATGGAAGAAAATTATTTTTTATTGACACTTTGTTAAACGTTTTCTGGTACTTATATACATCACTGCTACAATACTGAAATATCTATTAATGAGATTCTGAGATATTTTGACAAATTGATGCTAAATTAACAGTGCTGAAGAAAGTGAAGTTTCATCAGTTTTCAAATTGCATATCTTCGTGAAAGTAATGAAACTTAAATTTACAATACTTTCGAGTCTTCAAAGATATTTCAATATTGAATTAGTTAATATATGTTGCGTTCGCATATCCACATACGTGATTTCGCACTCGCCCAAACCGACGGCACTGAGCCGCGAGCATCCCTCGGCCATGGAAATCAGGAATTGATCGATCGGACCGGATCCATAGGCGGTGATAACTAATTCTATCAATCGTGGACATTGCTTGCTTATCCGTGACATTATCGACTCCGATATTGCGTCGCCGAGATATAAATGCGTTACGGGAATGTGCGATGTGAAGAGTAACTTTTGGTCGTTATCGTCGTTCATGTAAGACAGTCTAACGAAAAGTAAAAAAAAAAATACAACAGCAGAGTTTACTTTGACTCGCATCGCGCGGGTGTTGTAGCAATAACTTTCCATCGAGATTACTGATTTGTTTTTACTTACAGCGCAAGATTTATGTTGGGAAAATGACTCGAAAACGCGGACCACGCTTCGTCGCTAACACGTGGAAGAGGCTTCGCTTCCGGGTATGCCTCCACTCGCAGAGTCTCCAAGTGGTTTTGCTTTACCGAACATAACGCTAAGAGCAGCTCGTCGCTCAGCAGGGCATACGATAAGGACAATTCGCGAAGCCATCGGCAATAGTTGGCCAAAGCGAGGATGCCTAAAATATCGGTGAATTTTCTTTAACGCATGTATGTATAACTTACGAAACCACAAACTTAACTTTCATCCGTTGCCATCGACGATTTCATGCGGTCTTCGAATTACCTTCGGGCAACAGCCGTGGAAATCCTTTAATTCGTACAAGACGTAACGTTTTTGGATCGTTTTTATCGTCGCCGCAACGATGATCCATCCCGCGTTCGACATTCTTAGCCTTGGAGATTGTTACTGTAGATTTAAAATGCTCACGGTCGATCCCCTGCTTTGCCGTGCTCGTCGCCGCAAACATTTGCGATCGACGTTTAGTTTTGCACCACTCTTTCAAATTAAATCGGTGAAAATATCGCCGACTAAAACAATATAACGTAGGCTTTCACTGAGGATTAGTGAATATTTTACTCATTTCAATCATTTCATCTTATTTCATAAAACAATTTAATTTTTTAGATGCTCATAGATATTGTATTAAAAAAATTTTTTTAAACTTTGCAATCACTACATCCTCAGCATTTATAATATCACTAATTGAAATAATCTGTTATTAACTAATTATTTCTAATGAAATCTCACTGAATGTTATAAAACTTATAACTGCTACTTTCCAATTTTACTTTCAATGCTAATACACTCCGTAATTTCGTTTAAGGGAATACAGAATATTAATATGTTCAGTCTTACGCGGTATTCGTGCGTTCTGCCGAGATGAGAGTAGCTCTGGATGTTGCCGCGATAGTCTCGATGATAAATCAAAGATACGTTCTTTCTGCCGCGAACCATGGTCCCCCGTGAAACCGTCTAGCTGGACTCACCGAGATGAGTGCTAGGAATGAGCGAAAGGAGTTTGCGGAAGTGGGGACTAGGACATACACGCGAGAGGCACGTTAAGTAAAAGTAAAGTTGCGAAGAAGAGGGTCAAGGACTTCGAGATTGCTAGTTCGCGTATGTTATTCGCGCATTGCTCACGTGTTTCATGTAAAAAGGTAAAATCTTATACGTGGAGTTCTCCACGGAAAAACGTGATAAACGCGTGATTCTAGAATTGCAATTACTTACAAACGCTCTTTCTCACGCTCTCCTAAATTAATAATTATTTCGATCAAGAAAATATTGAAGTAAAGATTACAAGGTTTTCGTTTTGCTTGCACATTTCTTATGAAATCTAGTGCTAATTAATGTACGATCAGACAGTAAAATCCTATATATATAAAGGAAATTTAATCACTTGTAAAATATTATGTTAAACGGTTAAAGCAAATAGTTTTTAAATTCGAAACGAATGTTGAATCAATGAAGATTTCTTAAAATAAAAACTTCTTTGAACATCATCAAATATATCGAATCTTTTACTTTGTTATTTAATTACGACTCACACGTGACGTCCCTTTCACTAGCCGTCCACGTGCTACCGAGCTCACGTGCACGGATCGTTTGCATCCCTTCACGTCTTTCTGACATTCGTGAAGGTCGTACTATCCCAGTCAATTATACTGCTGCATCGTACATCGATGTAATCAAATTGTCAAAGATATAATTGTTACATGTACAACAAAATATATTAAATTAACAAGTAGAGGAAACTAGAAAGACAAAGCATTAAAGAGTAAAGGTATTAAAATTTATGAAAAAATAATTTATTATATATTTTTTACAACAAAAATAGAATTGATAGTATTCGGAAAAATTATATAAATTGCATAAATTTAAATGATTTTTATTTTAATTTTCTGTACAATAGTAATCGATTAAATCAATTATATGATTACTGTGAATACGTCATTATATTAGTTAATAAAAAATATACATACAATTCTCTTTATTTCCTTTGTATTTGAAAATAAAAGTTCAAGATTTGATTTTTTCATCTTCGAATCCTGCTACAGGCCATTTTTTTAAGTGGTCTTTCAAGACAGAAGGAAAGAGCGATAGTACTTTGAAACAATTTCCCATTTTATCTTCATCGGTTATCATACGATATCCCGATTCAATTTGTTGCTTTTGAGTACTAGTAGCGTTCTGTAAAATCATTTTTAATCGCAAATCGATGCCAAGGCTTTTCAGGAATTTCCTCTGCGTCACCGGACCGAATGTGATTAATCTATCGTCTTTCTGCGCAATCTCTCTTATTAATAAAAAGTCAACGTCCGCAGTTAGATCCGCGGTTCCGGGATTCAACAAGGGATCGTGCAATTTATGTTGGCAGAATGCGCGAAATGTGTCAGTCTTCTCTCTCTCGTGGCCATAGTCGATCACTAGTGCAAATCCTCCGCATTCCCACAAAGACTGGGACATGTAGTCTATTATCACAGAACACTGTGGACTCACTTCCACATGATCTCTTTTCTCGTGCGGCTGAAAAAACATCGCTTTTGTTATCTAACGAATTAATCTATTATTTAAAATTACTTAAATGCTCACAGATAGGTACACTTTACAAGCAGCCGTTGGCATTTGCGAAAGTACATATCGAAACCTTTCTTCCTTTGACTCTTGCACTATGTCTATTAAGATTTCCCTCCAACCTTTGTCAGTTCTCTAAAATCAAGCGTTACAACTTTTGTAAAAATTATCCTTTACGTATTTTATACGTTAGTATTAATGCTCTCTAATATTTTCATACCTGGAACTTGTGTATTGGCAGAGCATCAAAGAACTCTTGCGCAATGAATACGCTGAACTTTCTAGGAACATCATTGATAGAATAATACCAATATATCTTTACTCCGTCTTTTGTAACACCCTCTCTATAATGCGTAACAGAATTTTTTTGGTCTTCATTAACCCTTGGCTCAATGTTTCTGCTCTCTATGCACAATTTCTCTGCTTGAATTACAGACAAAACTGGACTAATCTCTATCAGATGAATTGATACCTTATTTGAAAGATTCAGTTTCTTGCACACCTAGAATAAGTGACAACTTATATTAATTTATTTATACGTGATTTTTATGTTTGTATATTTGGTTTGCAGATAATGGCATATTGAAAATATACCCGTAGGATATCGCTGATCAAGGTACCTCTTCCTGGGCCCAATTCTACAAGTTGTATAGACTCTCCGCTAATCTTTCGCCACTCATTAATTATCCAAATTGCTACAATCTGTAAATAATGATTAATATATTTTTGCTGGGCAATAATTTATTGGTAAGTTCCAGATAAATAATCGCACGAAAGAAAAGAGGAGATAGAATTATTTCAAATTCTCAATTAACAAAGACATTGCAATGTCAGCTAGGCAACTCTTATCGACGTAATTAATATTAAATAACGGATCGTATTCAGCCCAAGAATAAGAGTTACGTACTTCTCCAAAAAGTTGACTGATTTCTGGAGAAGTTGTGAAATCGCCTCTTTGTCCGAAAACGTCTCTAGTTGTATAATAACCTGCAGTAGGGTGGATCAAGATCTCCTTCATATACTCTGCGAGCGTAATGGGACCGCATGCCAATATTTTTGCGTATAACTGACGATACAGATCCGTTTTCTTCTCTAAGCTATTCAACGAATTTAATCGCATGTGTGATAAACGAGAGAAGGTTTGCGCTAATCGGGATAACCTGATCATGTTAAACACAGCGTCAAAAACTTGCGCTGTACGTATATAAATTATTTATATAACTACAATTGATATAATAATTTATTTTCATGAAAACTGTTTTCATATAAATTAATCACGAGGATTTTCTTGAACGTATGTACAAATTATAAATTTATCAATTAGGTTAAGTTTGCCAATTAGGTTAGTTTAAGTTATGCCTTTTCCATGAAATAAGAAATTGCAGAGAGTGTAACTGCGAGGGAGCTCCGTCACTTGAGTATCAACAACATGGCGTACGTCAAGAGTCTACATGCATAAGTGACAACAAGCTGTACCCAATTCAAATTTTCTTCATCTTTTGAACGTAATTTTTAAAACTAGCTGATTATTTTGGGCAAATGGATATCGGAGAACTATTATCTTATAAGGTACGAATTAGTCCGCAACGATTTGTATAATTTATATCCTAAAGATAACATATTATTTAATTTAACCTCTCGCTTATATGTCATGAATTTTGGCCTATGAAAATCTTCATCAGTTTCGCGATTTGCTTTTTTGTTTGTTACAAGTAACAGTGATACGATTTAATTAAACGGTGATAATATGTACAGCCTCCAAACACGCCGAAACGACCGGCAGTAGGGGAGGAGGACGACGAGGATGAGTGGGAGAGCGCGAAGAAGCCGAAGAGGGTGATAAAAACGCCGTATCACGCGCGTCAACGGCAACCCAAGGAACTCGATGTGGTGCCGTCCAGGAACGAGGAGCCCGCTACGCCCGTCCGAGCCGCATTGCCCTCGTCGACTAACGACGTGGTCGAGCCACAATTGACGGAGAAGGAGAAGCAAGATATATTGAAATATGTGGAAACCGAGGCTCCCGAAGTCGAGGCGTTGGACGAGGCGACGCTCAAACGTATGATCCTTCTGTTCGAGAAGAGAGCTCTGAGGAATCAGGAGATGAGAGTCAAATTCCCAGATCAACCGGAAAAGTATGCAAATACGCGTGAAAGCCGAATGTCCATCCAGCTGAAAATCTCACTAATTGTCTCCGTTTTCCTTTCCAGATTTATGGAATCTGAGGTAGAACTGCACGAGACTCTGCAAGAGCTTCATATTGTGGCGACCAATCCAGATCTGTATCAGTTAATGGTAGAGTTAGGCGCCGTACCTTCTTTACTGGAATTGTTGTCCCATGAAAATACTGACATAGCAGTTGGCGTGGTAGACCTTCTGCAGGAATTGACCGACGTAGACATCCTGCACGAAAGTCAAGAAGGCGCAGATACACTTATTGACGCCTTGTTGGAGCAGCAAGTTTGCGCTCTCCTGGTACAAAATCTCGAGAGACTCGATGAGACGGTAAAAGAAGAGAGCGACGGCGTTTATAATACACTTGGTAATTATTTAATAAACGCGTGTATCGCGTTTCATTATTTTTTTTTGTTTCTGCAAAACAATATTTTTATTGGGATTAATTGAATGGTTTTTTTTTATTTCCAGCCATTTTCGAAAATCTACTAGAGTTTAGACCGGACCTATGCGCAGATGCGGGAAAGCAGGGTCTGATGCAATGGCTATTGCGTCGAGTTAAAACGAAAACGCCTTTCGACGCGAACAAGCTTTACGCCAGTGAACTCCTGTCTATACTTTTGCAGCACACGCCAGAGAATAGACTTCTTTTAGGTGACTTGGATGGAATTGATGTTTTGCTACAACAATTAGCTGTATGTATAGCTTTATACGTACGTTTCTAGATCTCTGCGTATAACATTACAAAGTTGAATTATTTAAAAATCGATTATTTACAGTACTATAAGAGGCACGATCCGCAGACTGCAGAGGAACAAGAGATGATGGAAAACTTATTTAATGTGTTATGCTCAAGCCTAATGGCTACCGTAAATCGCGACAGGTTTCTACGCGGTGAAGGTCTTCAACTTATGAACTTGATGTTACGAGAGAAAAAAATGTCACGAAATGGATCTCTCAAGGTTCGTTTATTTACAACATTCTTCGATTTGGATTTGTATAAATTATTACAATTAAAATTCGATAGGTTTTAGATCACGCGATGAACGGCCCAGACGGGAAAGATAACTGCAGCAAATTTGTAGATATCCTTGGATTACGAACTATATTTCCTCTCTTTATGAAAACTCCAACAAAAAATAGGAAAAAAATGCTTACTGCAGAAGAGCATGAAGGTATTTGCTAAATTGTTAAATGTAGTCTCGATATATCTATTAATATTATTAAAATTTTGTGGGAATCTAACTTTAAATTTATGGCGAAATAATTTTGCAGAACACGTAATTTCAATCATAGCAAGCATGTTGAAGAACTGCAAGGGACAACAGCGTCAAAGATTACTTAGCAAGTTTACGGAAAATGATTATGAAAAAGTAGACAGATTAATGGAATTACATTTTAAGTATCTCGAAAAGGTAGAAGAAGTGGAAAAGAATGGGAAGGTACGTGCAAAACGTAATATCCAAAACGTTTAACAGATATATCTAAAAGCGGAAACTGTTGAAGCTTATGCTCGCTATTTTTGTCTCCAGGATGATGAAGACGAAGAAGAATCTTACTTGAGGAGATTAGACGGCGGGTTATTTATATTACAATTAGTAGATTATGTACTTTTGGAAGCTTGCACTGGTTGCCCGCCTGCAGTCAAACAACGAGTGACAAGAATCTTGGCTCAGAGAAGAGCGTCCCTCAAAACAATTCGACACATCATGAGAGGTAAATTGACGTATTGATATAATTTAATTTACATTTAATTACAAATCCATATCGATAATATATCCACTCGCATATATCTTTTATTTCAAAACAGAGTACGCCGGTAATTTAGGAGATGCTGGTGACACAGAATGGAAAGAGGCGGAACAACAGCATATCTTACAATTAATTGATAAATTTTGATATGTATTTTTCACATTATCAAAATATATTGTTATGTACGTATAATAAAACTCAATAACCTTGTATTATTACATAATGTAGAATATAATAAACATGTGCAACCATTATAAATATTTATGTCAGAAATAAGTATGTCAGAAATGTGCTCAATTAAGGAGAAATTTATTCATGGAATAGAAATTATTTACATGTTCGTAGAAAGTTTTTGCGATTAATCTTTTATACCATTTACTATATATATATATATATATATATATATAAAATATTGTAATAAATCCAATAAAATAAGAAAATTCTTTGTAACAAAATTTTGTAACATTTTTAATAAATATCGGAACATTTTTTTTTAAATATTTTTAAAATTCTGATAGATTCATTTATTTGTCACATTCTTTCTGTTTAAAGTTTGACGCATTGACCAATCGCAGCGCAGCTGATCACCTCTAAGAATAGGTTAGGATTAGATCGAGAAATGAGCCGGTGACGAGCGGACGGAAACAAGTTGTTAAATACATGCATATGAATTTCTGCCTTGAGATTCTACTTTATACCTTATATTTAATTTCTTTAACGTGATATCGATAAAATATGAATAGCAGTGTAACTAACGATGTAACAATGAGACCTGAACTAATAAAAAATTACCAGCAGATACTGCTTGACACTGTGTTAGCACAGGTATAATTATATGAAATTATATGTTGATCACAACTCTTATGCGTAATGGTGTTCCTTGCTTATTTAGATTATTTGTAACATTCAAAAAATTTGAAAACTAACTATGCATTACAGAAACTTGAACAAAATGAAAAACAAATCAAGACCATAACAGATTATAGGAACAGGCACAAGAAGGTAATAGAGGGACTTCAAGTGTATCCATTGTCCCTCTCCGAGAATTGTCTGGTGCCCATCGGCAAGCGGGCGTTTATGAAAGGGAAATTAACTCATACTAACGAGATCTTGGTTTCTTTGGGAGATGGCTATTTTGCCAAGTACAGTGCATCACAGGCGATTGCATTGTGCAACAGGAGAATAGCATGTATAAATATCGTATACAGCCTTGAAAATAATTTATATTACAATTGACGCTACAATGTTGTATTGTTATGTTTTTATGCCAGGGTCGGATGAAATGCTGAAGAATTTAGAAACTGAGAGGAACTTGTACGAAATGAGACAATATTTTCTATTGGGACATGATGTTTTTGGAGAGGATGGGGAAGATATAGTGGAGCATTGGACTGATAATAAGCTTGATGAGTGGAGAGGTATAAAAAGAAAATTTTTCATCTCTTACATTTTTTTACTTATATTCCAGGCACTAAAAAATTAAATTTTTTTTAACAGTACAACATAGACAACGTGAGAAGGAGTATCATCAGAAACTAGCAAAGTTGAGAGAAAAAGAAAAGACTGATATTCGTACTGAGGAAGATCTTTTCAAGAGACTCGATGAATTGGAAGTGGAAGAAGAATTAGAAGATGAAATTTACAGGTTACTCACAATTAGTGTTTTACAATTACTTACTTTCGATGAAAATCGTAATCTGTTTACTGTTTTACGATTGCAGATTGCAAACCGAACGAAAAGCATTTTATGGTGATGACTTAAAAGATGGTGAGGTTTACGATGAATCGGAAGAGGATACGTCTGATTCCGATCAAATTACAACAGAGATAATTCAAGAGGAATTAAAAAAGCTGAAAGCTATCCAAATGAGCACAAGTGACACGTTGAGTTCACTCATCAGTTCTGATGCAACCCAAGATAAAATTCTCGATACAAATAACGAGCAGTCCTATTCCTCTACAAATTTTATTCAAGAAAAATTAAAGGAGAGTTGTTCACTTGGGTCTGAGGAAGAATCTAAAGACACAAATATAAAAGAGAGTTGTTCACTTGAGTTTAGGGAAGAGTTTAAAGACACAAATGTAAAGGAAAGAAGGAGGATATCGTTTGCTGAGCCATGTGTCGTGGACGAGTTCACTCAAGATGAAGGCAGCACAGGAGAAAATTTATCAATATCTCAGGAAGTCTATTCTGCTCCAGAGCAAGATGAGGCACATAATGAAAGTTCTGAAGACGAAGATGATACCGTTAGGATCGAATTTTCACATTCATCCCACACTCCAGATATACTTCAATCAAATAATATGGAAATACACAGCCCAGTGGATATTTATAAGACGTTTTGTACTCCTAAGTCTATTTTGAAAAGATCTCCAAATGATATGATTTTCGATCAAGCTGTTCCTCCTTTAAATGACGATAGTAATACAGATGCAGAAGATGAAGATGAATATGGTACACATTCTGCATACAATTCTGTAAGTACAAATAATTTAATAATACACTGTTATTGTATGTACTGATAATAGATAATTGTGTATACTGATAAACATATTTTGTAGGTTCTCAAAGAGACTGTCCAAGAAAGTAAAACATCATCGGTAAATGTTTCGAAAAAAGATGAAAAAAGAATTGTGAGTAGGTTCAAACTTGAACGAGCTGCGAAGAAAAAGTGACTTGTAAATACATGTGCACTGAAATTAAAAATCTATTTTTATAGTACATATACCCGAATAATATAACTACTTCCTAAGATCACACTTAAAGTCCAATTATATAAAAGTCATTTGAAAAATTATTTCTATTATCCTGCAGAGATTGCAGTTTAACCTATATGATAAGGTGATGCTTTGAATTATTTTTAAAATTTTAGTAACAAATTAAATTCCAATGAATAATTAAGAATAAAACGTAGGTTAATATACATAATATTTACAATATATTTATTTCTGTGATTTCCATACAATAAATGAGTAATTTAAATTTTCGATAGGATGGAGGCAGGATTTGGTAATAAATGAAGATAGACATAATTACTGTCTAATGTAATGCAACATTAATTCTATGCAGAAAACAATCCACTATCTCACACATCCTTAAGAATATTATATAGGTGCTTTCTCAACCAATTTGAACCAGTGGCCGCATTCGCAACGACGTGGAGGACCTTGGTGCAACCACATCCAGTTCACGTGTGTTGAATCCTCGTCGCAGATGCATCCCATCATGCGACTCTCGAATGCGCTATAGACTATATTGGGATCTTCTTTTGTGCTGATCGCTCGCCGCTTTATGGTCAGATTGTATGGATCCTAAAAAGATGCACGTCTTTTTCTAACAAGATATTAAATATTTGTCACACATCAACATTAACTGAAAAGTACCAAGGTAAAAAAAATACCCAAGTCTATAAAAAAATTATCATGAAAGTTCTCCTAATGTTTTCTTATCTTTGGTACTTGAAATCTTATCAAGAGCTTAATTTTTCCAAAATTATCACATTTCAATATTTCATTAAGATCGTAGCATAATAATTATTATATCGCTAATAACAATTGTGTTGCTATTATGTAATTATATCGTTAATAACAATTATATCACTGGCATCAGCAAAGCCATAGGAATATGTCCACATAGGCGTGCTGGCCGAACTGAAAACGTCTCTCGCAACTTACATCGTTACCGGCTAAATGGGCGAGCATTTCCCTCTTCTCCAAGCCCGTGGCATGATCGAGCGGATCGGCAACTGTCAAGAAAAGAAAAAAAAACGTACGCATAAATAGACCGAATTTCCTTCCCCACTCTTTTCATATCACGCGCAATACGTCGGCCGTGGTCGAACCGAAAGTCAAAATCGATGGATGAACGAAAAACATTACGTAATGTGGACAATGCGAAAATGCAAAAAACATGTGCGGGACAGACGATTCGGCGGCGATTCATCTCGGGAACGATATTTACATTCTTGTTTCCTTTGGGCGCACGCGAGACTATATGAGATCTGCCGACGACATGTTTGGAGCACGGTACGAGCGCATAACCATGCCATTTTTCAGGATACAAAAAGATATCGCACTATCAGCCGTCTCGGCCCGACTGGGTTATAATGGTTAGTCTCTCTGGCCTCTGCCGCGGATCGAACGATGCGCAGATGGTCGTCGTCGTCTTGCTGAAACAGCTGAACGAGTGGCGCGCGAGGCGCTGCAGCAGGACAAGTGAATGCGAATGAACTTCGATCGATATGTCAGATATAATTATCGTTTTTTAACAAATTAATTTAAATTGTTCAAATGACTATCAAATTTTTTCATTCGTTTCAAAACTCTTCAAAATACAAAATTTTGTTTAATTAATTAATTTATTTAATTTATTAAAATTAATAACTAGATGACTATCTTTCAATTCACACTTTATATGAAATATAAATGATTTTGTAAAAAAATTTTTTTAAGAAATCAATTAATCGTCGTTTAAGTTTATAGTGTTTATACGAATTAACTAGTGAGAGTTTCTAGTTATCCTTGACATTATAGATTGACTAATTGCATTCGTAATAGCTGAATTATCGAATTTTTAACTTATTAAAAATAAACTTTTTTCTTTTCTTTATTGTAAATTTCTGATTTTTGTTTAAGACGGAAAAATGTTAAAAATAGAGATCTCAATTGTAGTCAGTTACATTTAAAACAATTTTCGGCCTACGCGATTAATTAGCTCCATCCCAGATCTCAGACCGTTTTCTAGTATCGTAAACACACAAAGCTTAAGAGGTTTGTGCAGACGTTTTAGATAAAGACAGGAAACAGTATATTTAAAAAAAGAAACTTTATTATATATAATTCTAAATATATATATATATATATATATAAAATATATTCTTTTGATTTCAGTAACATATATCCAATTAGATTTTTTTTATTTAATTTTACTTCATTTGCGTCTATATAAAATCTAGATTTATAAAATTAAAATTTGCGCGAGAAAGGCACAAGTATTCGAATCGAGATTGGTAACATTATTTGTAAACGGCTTTTCTGCACGATAATAAAGAAACGATAAAACTTTGAATTTTCTGAGTAACGCAGGATCTGAAATACAGTTTCGTCACACTAAATGACGAAATGTACTCCAGTCCATCTATAACTCAACTTTAATTAGAATAGCTTTTTAATGAATATACTTTCAAGTCATAATCAACTTGAAAGTATATTCAAATTATAATATCATAAATTATGAGAGTCACCGTGGCTCTAATAAAAATTAACACGATATCTCTTTGTAGTAAAAAGATTAATTAAAAGGTACACGATTCTCTTATCTGATATTATAAAATTCATATAACTCATTGTCAGAAACAGTTAGTCGTTCGACATTTTTGTTAAAAAAAAGTTAACCAGCTCCAAGTCCAGCAGTTAAATGTCCTATTAAAATTAAAATCGAGCGCTCGTAAAAGGTATACCTTATAAGTTACAACGCGGATAACAATCGCAGCATTAAATATTATGAACAACTTGATGTATCCGCGTTAGCGAGAATATTTAAGGCATTTGCGATACTCGGTATACGTAGTATATGTATCAGGCTGTATGTGCGGTTCTCTTCTTGAGAAGAAATCGTGTATGTCCAGCCTACGTCTATCAGTATAGAAAATATCGTTTACCATTTTTTTCCTTTCCATTTGCACTAGATTTGCTAGCAGTATAAACCACTGCCCTGATTCTCAACAATATACTTCGTTAAATATTTCGCTGATTTCTCGCTTAATCCTAAGCTCGGTAACTCCTTTTCAAATTGTTCGAGACTGCCGGCGCCTGCGATGTAACCGTTCAATTTGGCTGCTAGTGGGGAGGCGCATAAGACTTCCGGTGTGTTGAAACCCATTGTCTCGATCAGCCAAGGATGATTCTGCAGTCGATATTTCTGATGGTAACTAGAAACATAATTTTGTTTAATTAAATTGGTTAATATGTCGTCTTCTATTGTAGTTGCAACTTAATTTTACTACTATCTTAAGTTTTCGATTGTTAATATAATTTTATTACAATTTGTAGAGCTGCCAAAATAAAATGTACATATACAACTGAATGTATCAGTATCTTATCACAGCAGAAATTCAATATAAATATTTAAAAATTTTTTAAATCGCGAAAATTATAATTATTTTCGTAGTAAACTAATTAATATTACAAAATACTTTTATGTTAATTATGTAACTATATATTATATAACAATTATATAAATTTGTATTTTAAGAGTTTTGAAGAATTCTATCAGCAGCCTAAACTAAACTGATATGAACGTTGTATCAGAAAACTCCAATGAGTTTAGAAATTCTATCGAGTAAGAGTAATTGGATACAAATAAAATGTCACTTACTCTTCAGCTGGATAAAATTGTGTAAACTTCTTAATTTCTGTCATAAAGACCTCCCCACGCTTTTGCTGTTCCTGCTCGCGAGATTTTTCAGCTACTAACCTTTGTTCTTCGTCGTGATACAAGATCAGTGACATGTACTGCAAATTAAATTAACGTTTAGAGCATTTAGTTGCACCAATAATATGTGAATCATGTTAATTATTCACTAAGTTATTATATCCTGTAAATAGATCAAATCTGACAAAGCTCTAAAAAATTCATTAAATTTTTCTATTGAAAATGATATATATATGTAGTCAAACATAAAATTAATATGCGCCAGCAACGTACTTGTCTCTTGATCTTCCTCGTTAGACTGTACTCATGATTATTCCAAAACAAGTTCAGCAGATGTGTGTAAGACACTAGTTCTGGGTCATATTCGATATCGATGACCTCTGTATGATCTCCCCTACAAGCAAGAGCATAAAGAATATTAGAAAACGACTTCGTAAGTCTTTCGAATCGCAGTATTGCCACTGCAGCTGAATGACGGTAATGGAGTATTTACATGTTCTTGTACGCCGGAGATTCCTTGGTGCCACCAGCATAACCGACGCAGGTTCTGATAACGCCAGGCAGCGCACCGAACAGAGAATCCCCCGCCCAGAAGCAGCCCATGCCGAAGGTGGCACGCTTGCCGTTGATCTGTTCCAGTTGGCCCGGCATTCTGCTGAACGGGCAAACATTGTTACGCTCGAAGACACTCGGGCACGTGAGGGACGCGCCGCACTGGTACGACGAGATGGTGCAATTGTCCGCGAAAACGGCCCGCAGCAGGCACGGTAGCACAACGACGATCGCGCGGCATGATCGCGACATCCTCGACGATTCGGGTCCTGCTCGATACGTCACGCCGCCCACTTTCATGGTCTCGACACCGCGTTCTGTGATACTTCCACGGTGGCATGCGTTAAACCGGTATCGCGCGGACGAGCGGTATCGGACCGAGGCAGAGACGAGATCGCGCGAGTGGTGGTGGACGAGCGCCGAGCGGGCGAGCGGGCGAGCGGGCGCGGGCGAGCGTGATGAGAGCGTAAAGAGAGGGGGACGCGCACGTGCCGAATGTCTGCGATTACCCGAGAACGTCAGGGAGACAACGTATCGTATAGCGTACACGTGCGAAGAGGAACGAAGGTCAGCGAAGGCCAATTCCGATCGGATTAATTAATTGATTGATTCGCGGAGTCTCGAGATCGAATGGTGACGAGCGTCGCCAACGTGAATCGTAAAACTCTTCGGATCTCGTGACTTGAATGTTTAATATTGTATACCGCGACAAATTTTTTTTTCGATAATACCGCTCGTCTAAATTGCTAATTTTTTAAATTTTAGAATTAATCTTTGAGATTTGACCCTAATATTGATTGATCATTAGCCTTAAAATATAGCTTGTTTACGAATATTTAAGTACCGACCTTCGAAGGGAGAGAGAGAGAAATGAGAGACAACATCTGCAGAAGTTGGTATTTTTTCGGTATTTTCTAAATGAATTATAGATTCGTAGGTATATATTAATTGCATAGTAATATATTAATATTATTGTTGCATATTGCTATATGAGATTTAGATTGTTACATAAATTAATTTAATTATCATTTACTCCGGTTTTCAGAAATTTTTTATTGCAAAATGATATTTAAGGCCTCCGTTCTGTAATGTACTCTTATAACGACAGTATATTGCCATATTGGCATCATTATATTATATTGTTGATATATTAGTTTTTTTTTAATATACACGGAGAGAATTTTCTTTTAAAATTTACCCTGAAAATCATGTTCATTGTGAGTGAATATAGTATTTAGGTAAATTTTACTGTGCACTACAATAAATTTTACTGCGAAATCTTATTGTAGTGCACAGTA